AAACAGTTCATGGTGCCTACTTTGGATATTCATATCATACAATTGGCTAGATGGAAATTGAAGACTAATGACTTATTTTGAAGCTGGAGTGTCCCTCTACATATTGAAGTGATTGAGAGCTCGATAGGAAGTCCAGAAGACCATTTTTGAACCTCATCAAAAGGCTATGCCAAAACTGGGAAACTGCCTAGAAATGGCTAAGTCTGGAAACGTGTTTGTGAAGCCTATTTTTGAGCTCAATTCGAGAAGCATGAATGCGAGTCGAGTCCAGGAGCCTCTACCACGTTAAATTAGGTATGTTTTTATACAAATTCAAGGAATTGGATGAAAGATTGGATATATTTAAGGCTTCAAACAAAAGGGTCGAAGTTGCTACGAAGGCTATTTTTCTGGCAGCACAAGCAAGCTGCGAGAAAAACAGCCTTCGTAGAACCTTCGAGCCTTTTGTTTGAAGCCTTAAAGATATTCAATCTTTCATTCAATGCCTTGCCTTTGTATAAAAAAATACGTAATTTAACGTGGTAAAGGCCCTTGGACTTGACTCGCATCCATGCTTGTCAAATTGAGCTCCAAAGTAGGCTTGACAAACACGTTGCCACCATTTTCAGGCAGTTTCCCAGTTTTGGCATAGCCTTTTGGTCAGGTTCAAAAATGGTCTTCTGGACTTTCTATTGCGCTCCCAAGTACTTTAATGTGTAGAGGGATACTTCAGCTTCAAAACAAGCCTTTAATCTCCAATTTCATCTAGCCAATTGTAAGATATGAATCTTCAAAGTAGGCACCATGAAACTGTTTGTACACTGAAACAACTGATTAGGTCGACCTGATCCTATATGAGGTCGACCGAAAAGTGCATGTCACCGTGACATGAATGTCACCGTAGCAAAGTCCTAATATTTATGTCTTTCCTTGTTCAAAATTTCTCGATTTAACCATAATTTTTTTTCTCGATTTATTACCTATGTCTTTGAAGCTCCTACTTATATTGTTCATGGTTTGGAAGAGATTGGGTTCATTCATTTCATTCAAAACACATTTATATAAAATATGCATGCCTAAATGAATAGGATACGATATTTTTGCTATAGTCTCAACTTTAATTATTTTTCACCAAAACAAAAGACTCCTTTGTTCTACCAACTTATAAAAAATTCTAACTATTAATTGTTATTTTTAGCTAAGTAAGTTAAGGGATTGTCGCTAAACTGATTTCAATTAATGAACTAGTTTGGCCCTGTGATAGATTTTGCAGAAGCAGTTTTTGGTTGGAGTTTTTAGAAAGGTACTTAAAAGAAAACAATTGAGTGTTTGGCTAAAAAACTATTATGAGTGTTTTTTAATATGAGATGTTGTGATCTTCTTAACTAACATAAAAGATATTCTCTCGCTAATGAGAGTTGTTCGGAGAGCAGAGTCGGCGATTAGGGGTTTTCTCCTCAAAACCCTATACAAGTACTCGTAGGTGTTTTAGAGCAATCGAGATTAAGAGAAGAGTGTGAGTTTCCTGCGGATCTTGTCAAGCTATCCAAAGGGTCTCAAACCGTTGTGTCGCATCAGCCGCTCAAAAAGTGAGGAAGTTTTTTTTCATATGTTCTTGAGAGAGTCTAATTGAGCTTTCTTGTCTTTGAAGCAAGATGACAGCTGAGAGTGAAACAAATCCTGCAACAAAGATGCTGGAAGGTCAGCTACGACAAATAAGATTGGAGGAGGAGGAGGAGGAAGAGCCTTTGCTAATTGAAGAGAAAGATAAGACAAAAGGAATCGACCTAGCAGTACAAAAACTAGGGCTAATCGGCAGGTTGATTGCCTCTTGAAACCCCAGCATCGAGTCGATGAAAACAGCATTATCTAAAGCTTGGAATCTAAAAAAGGAGTTCACTATTACGTTGATAGAAGAGAATATGTATGTTTTTCAGTTTAGCGAGATGTATGACAGGAATAGGGTCCGTTTCGGAGTCCCTTGGCACTTTGATGGAGATCTTCTAATTTTTACAGAAGCTAACTTAAACAGGACAGTCAAACTGGAGGATCTACATGAGATGGAAGTTTGGATCCGAGTCCTGGACATTCCTCCATCCTATAGGAACCATGGCATGGCGGACAAAGTCACGAGCAGGTTTGGCAGGTTCTTGTTGTTCGATGAATGGAATTCAGGAATTTGAAGCTCTTTTATGCGCTTTCGTGTGACAAAAGATATCAACACACCAATCAAAAAGAAAGTTAAACTGAATATTGAGGGCAGGGTCCAAGATTTTGAAGCGAAATACGAAAGGCTCCCCACTTTCTGTTTCTTCTGTGGGGTCATAGGGCATCCGAAAAAGTTTTGCAGGAGTCACGATCCAAAAAATGCATATGGTCATTGAATCAAAGCAGGACCTCTCCCAAAGGTCCAAGAATGTCAAAGCAAGAGAGGGAGACGGAGTCGAAGATATCGACAATGTTAAACCAGGAGTACGACAAAATTCCAGCTGGAACCCAACAGATCATAACTATAATGGCGAAGGAAGTAATACCTTATATGGAATCAGCAGCTGGTCTGACTGAAACAGAAAAACTCAAAAATATGAAGGAACATGAAGGACCAAAGGAGGTCTATGACAAAGAAGAAAGTTAGGAAAAGATATGGAACAACAGGCCGGTGCTGGGAAAGAAAGAACTTGCTATGAAGTTCAAAGGGGTGGTAGAAGTAAACAATGTACAGAAAACGACCCCACGAGAGGAGGAAAAAGAGGAGAGTGATAAACAGAAAGGTTGTCAACATACAAAAGAACCTATTCAAGAGAAGAAGGGAGGAGTATAGAGGCGCCAATCTCAAAGTAAAGAGCGTCCACAGTGACTCTCCACTAGCCTGGTAGGAGGATCCAAACGTGAGTAGGGGTGGGAAACGGTGCGGTTGCGGTTAACTGCACCGCAATTTGCGGTTAACTGCAACCACAAAACACCCATATTAGCCAACCGCGACCGCGTCCCTCACGGTTAGCGGTTAACCAAAAACCGCAGAACGCGGTTAGCGGTGAACCGCGGTTTATGGTTGTAAAAACCGCAACAACCGAAACAGTATACGAAACCACGGTTAAGCAATCTAACTGACAATTAACCGCGAACTAACCGCAAAAAAAAATCATGAAAAAAAACACATCAGCTATTGTTTTGTCTATTTTCACTTCGATCAAATAACACAATCCACAAATGCACACGCCGGACGGCCAGGGACGGCGGCGAGCGGATGGCAGCGGCGCAGCGGGAAGATGGGAAGGGTCGAAGCTCGACTCGAAGGGTTTTCAGTTTCTGGTGGGAAGGGACGAAACGAAGGGTCGAAGGGGATTTTCGAATTCTGTTTCGTCAAATCAAAACGACGGTAGGGAGAAGTGGGGGAGGGGCCGGGTCGAGTTTGGGCTGCTGCCTGCTGGGCTGGGGGTCAACTTTGGGCTGGGCTGGGGGTCAATTATGTGCTGGGTCTGGGTCGCGGTTAGCCTTGCGGTTATATGGATTTGCGGTTTCGGTTGCTGTTAAACCGCAAACCGCAAAACAGCCCATATCTCCAACCGCGACCGCAAAATAGGCAAAATATGCGGTTTGCGGTTAACCAATAACCGCGCAGTTTCGATGCGGTTATCGGTTTAACCGCGAAACCGCAACCGTTTTCCCAGCCCTAAACGTGAGCAAGCAGAGGAGCAGGTGGTTGATATGGATATTGACCTGAAGAAGCAGAAAACTACACAAAAGGATGGCGTTCTGGCGGACTTTGCCAAAGAGCAAAGCCACCCAGCTCAATGAGTGTTTTGAGCTACAACTGTCGTGGGCTGGGGAACCCCACAACAGTGAAGAGAGTAGTAGAGCTACTAAGATGTAAGGACCCCAGTATTGTCTTCTTCATGGAGACAAAGAAACAAAACCATGAATGAGAACAAGTGATGAATGATATGGGTTGGACAAAAGGGAAAGGAGTGGGCTCTAAAAACAAAGCTGGAGGAATGTTGTTATTGTGGAAGGAGGAGGTAAAAATTACTGTTTAAGATAAATCTAGACATTTTTATAGATGTACTAGTTGAAGAATCAGATCCATCAAAGAATTGGCGATTTACTGGGATCTATGGATGGCCAGAGCAGGGCAAAAAACCCAAGACTTGGGCCTTAATGAGAAGATTACATAGACAAGTGGATATGCCTTGGCTACTCTGTGGGGATTTTAAGCAAGTTCTGGGATACGAAGAAAAGAATGGTATCAGACATCCAGATGTCCATTATATGGAGGAATTTAGTGAAGCTCTAGATGCTTGCAGTTTGGAGGACTTGGGATATATTGGTAATGAATTTTCCTGGGATAATGGACGAGAGGACGAAGGTTTCCTGGAAGAGAGGTTGGACAGGGCTGTAGCAAATAATAAATGGAAAGAGTTGTTCAAGTTCGCGCCAGTCTATAACTTAGAACGTTGGGTTTCAGACCATCTCCCCATTAATATTGAACTATTCCTAAGAGAGGAGAGACCTAGATGGGGTTGACAATTCCGATTTGAGGCGTATTTGAAAAAGCATGAGGATTGTTCGCAAATTATTGCAGAGGAGTGGCAAAAGAATCCAGAAATGAATACGGAAGAGAGGATCAAAGCCTGTGAGACGGCATTGCTAAAATGTAGTAAAGAAACGTTTGGGAGTATAAAGCAAAGAATCAGAAAGGCTGAGAGGGCTCTGCTGGCTATATCGAAGAGGAAGGAAAACCAGGATGTACTGCTACAAAGAAGAGCTCTGGAAAAAGAGTTAAGTGAACTCTGTTACCATGAAGAGCTTATGTGGAAACAACGTTCAAGAGCAGATTGGCTTAATGATAGACCGATAATTATACATGTTTTTACCCCTAGTCTGAGGCCGTTTGTGACGAGGAATCTCGTGTTTTAAGCCGATTTCACGCTAGGTTGTGTGTTTATGTCATATTTCAGGTCCCGGCGTTGGAATCGAGGCGGAGAAACGAGTTCTGGGTCGAAAGGAGCAAAGTTGGGACGAATAGGGCTGAAGGAGGAAAATACCCGGTCGGTTGGCCAAATACCCGACCGGGTATTAACCACTTTTGGGCGCCCGAGAAGCAGAGAGGGGCCCGGGCACAGCAGTTAAATCCCCGGTCGGGGATTTTGGTGTTGGACCGGGGATTTCCCCCTTTAGTGAAACGGTGCGCTGCAGAGATACCCGGTCGAAACCCAAAATACCCGACCGGGTATTTTGACCGGGTATCGCGACCAGGCAGCTGATTTAAGGAAGAAGAAGGTCAACATTGAAGGGTTCCGAGTTTTTGAGAGAGAAACCGATACCTAGAGAGAGAAAGCGTCGAACCAGAGTTCTCAAGCGCCATAGATCGATCTTCAACACCATTGGAGCCCGTCTTGAGCTTGGAGAAGTGCGATTAAACGTCCAGAAGCAGGAATCCAACTTCACAGTATGATTTCCGTGTCTGAATCTGCTTTTGCTTCTTTCTCTATGGAGTAGTTTCCCCATTCATCTGGGTATGGGAAACCCTAGTTCTGTATGTTAGGTTTGATTGTATGAACCCAAGTATTGATTCTGTGATTGATTATATTCGATTGAGGTTTTATGATTGAATGACTTGAATCCTGATCAAATTCCTGTTGTTTCTGCTTTAACCTAGAATGAGAATATCTGCCTAGGTTAATAGAGTATCCTTGATTGAAGGTAGGGAGTTGGTGACTTTAGTCGAGGAGCCAACTCACTATTCTGTACCGGATTTACTCCGGTAGTGGAGGTTTTGTTCTTAGGGCCTCAATCTGTCGACTCCGGTGGAGGTTAGTCGCCCGCTAGAGAGTCAGATTGAGAGGGTCTGAAGACCTTTAGTCGAGACTTCAGGCTGTTTAAGAACCTTCCGCAGTATAACTATCATAGAAATCGAACTTGGTAATTACAATCCGGCTTAACTGCAGACTAGGGGGAACCATATCCGGGTGACCTCTCTTAACCTGAATACAACCGTTTTAGTTACTTTGCTTGCTTGTTAGTTTAGAACCTCACTAAAGTTTCATTGCTAGATAATACAAATTCACTGAGTAGTCATCACATATAGGACCCGGGTTGACATTAAAACCCAAACCCGCTATACTACGCTTTAGGAAGTGGTTACACTTGGCCATTTTCTAGAGTGACAGTAGGAGTGAGTCAAGTTTTTGGCGCCATTGCCGGGGACGGCTAGGTTGTTGAAGAAAAGTGATTTCTGTTACTCTAGCTTTTCTTTTCGCTTTGTTTGCTTTGTCCCACTTGTGCCTTCACGGGTTTGCTTGCTTGAGTGTGTGCAGGTAGTGCATGACCCGTAGCCAGTCAGGAGGGTTACTGCCGTTGGATCCAGAGCTTGAACGCACTTGCCACCAACTTAGGAGACAGCAGCGAGCTAGACTGGTTACGGGAGAGCGTATAGACGGCCACTTAACCAGCGATTCTGAGGAAGAGTACGAGATGGAGGGCGAAGACATCCCACAACCGGGGAATGCTCGACAGGTTCCCCTGGTGAATCAGCACCCACCACCACCGCCGGGTCCCACCTTGGAGTACTACTACACTCCACGGATTGCTGACATCCACCCGGTCATCCTCTATCCACCCGTCCCAGCAAATAACTTCGAGATCAAGCCAGGCTGGATTCAGCTCATCATATCCTCTATCTAGTTCCATGGCTTGAAGGATGAGGAAGCCCGGGCACACCTTTCCCGTTTTCTGCAGCTGACGAACGGGTTCAAGCTGAATGGTGTTCCGGATGAGGCAATCCGCCTTCACCTCTTCCCCCATTCTCTGGCGGGGAATGCTAAGAGGTGGTTGGAGACCCAGCCCCCACTGTCCATCACTTCTTGGGACGATCTGGCGGATAAGTTCGTGCACAGATATTATCCGGCATCGAAGACTACTGAGATTCAGCGGGAGATCACTCACTTCCGCCAAGAGCCAGATGAGTCCCTTCGTGATGCATGGGAGCGGTACATGGGATACTTCTGGCAGTGTCCCCATCATGGCTTCAGCGATGCTTTCACAGTGGGGAACTTCTACAGTGCCATCACCCCAGACAGCCAGAGGGTGATCGAGTCTCTATGCCCAGGAGGGGATATCCTTACTAAGACTCCACCCGAGCTGAACCAGATGATCAGTACCTTGGCTGCCCGCGATCATTCCTGGGGGCAGAGCAGCAGAGGCAGGCACTCCCGGGACCGTGGTGTGCACGCCATGGAGACCAGATCCGGGCTCGAGCAGCAGGTAGCTGAGCTAGTGCAGGCATTGAAGCAGCCCAACAGTCTTATTCCGGGCAGAAGTTTGGCTACACCTCCAGTTGCTCAGTGTCAGTGGTGTGAGAGCCCGAATCACCTCGTGGAGGATTGTCAGTCTATGAGGGAGTCTTCTACTCCCCAAGAGCAGGTGGCCTTCATCGCCAATGCTCGGCGCCTCGATCCATACAGTAACACATACAATGAGGGATGGCGCCAGCATCCCAACTTCGCCTGGAGCAACAACACCAATAAACCACCTGGTTTCCCGGCACCAGCAGGTGGTTTTCAGCAGAGGCAGCCTTTCCAGGCTAGACAGGGGCAGCCATTCCAGCAGCCTCATCGTCAGTATGCCGAGCCAGCAGCAGCACCAGCTCCCGATAATCAGATGACCAAGCTTGAGAACATTTTGGCAGCATTCATGACCACCAGCCAGGCAAATTTCACGAGGATGGATCAGGCCATAGCTTCACTGGAGGCAGGCCAGAGGAACCAGGGTGCCATTCTGCAGGATCTCCAGCACCAGATAGGGGACTTAGCTCGCCAGAATACTACCAGGGCACCGGGGACTCTGCCTGCCACCACTGTCCCCAATCCTCGCGGCCCTCACGAGACTGCCCATGCCATTTTCACCAGGAGCGGCAGGCCTACATCAGCTGATCCTGCCCCGACCAGGCAGGAGGAACCACTACCTGCTTCAGCACTTCCAGCCGGTGATGCAGAAGTGCGGGTGGAGAAGGAAGCCCCTGCTCCCAAGCCACAACCAGTGGTGAAGGAGCATGTACCCCAGCTTCCCTTCCCCACTCGCCTCCATAAAGATAAGCTGGAGACTGAGTTTGCCAAGTTCATGGCAATGTTGAAGCAGCTCAACATCAGCGTACCATTTGTGGAGGCACTGTCGAAGATGCCCAAGTACGCGAAGTTCATGAAAGATCTCTGCACCAACAAGAAGAAACTTGGGGATCTTTCGACAGTGCTGCTGAGCGAGGTATGTTCTGCCATCCTGCAGAACAAGCTGCCCGAAAAGCGCAAGGATCCAGGGAGTTTTACTATCCCTCTTACTATTGGCAGCGTGCATGTAGGAAAGTCCTTGGCGGACCTAGGAGCTAGCATTAATGTCATGCCATATAAATTGTTCAAAAAGCTAGACCTAGGTGAACTTAGTCCTACTAGGATGAGCATTCAGCTGGCTGATCGTTCCGTGGTGCATCCTAGGGGTATCATAGAAGATTTGCTTGTTAATGTGGGTGCATTCACATATCCTGTTGATTTTGTGATTCTGGATATAAATGATGATGTGGATGTGCCTTTGATTCTAGGTAGACCGTTTCTTGCCACCGCCAAGGCACTGATTGATGTGCATGATGGTAAACTGATCTTGCGTGCTGGAAATGAACAGGCTATTTTTCCTGTGACTGACTTTGATCATTGTGCTATGATTCCTGTATCGCCTGTGCATGCTATTTCTGATCAGGTACACGAGCTTGTCGTGTACCCTTCTGCACCTCTCATTTTGCAGGACCCGCCTATCATTCCTCCGCCGCCACTCCATCCAGCCTCGCCTTCGAACAAAAAGCTCAAGGAGGAGTGGCGGCCGAAGCCGCAGGTAGCTAAGCCTGCACGGAAGAAGAGTGGAGACCACTATGAGCTGGTCCCAACCCCCGCACCACGACCACCCTGGCCATCCGAGTACTCACTCGCCTGCATCTTGCCGGATGGCCAGGTCGAGCTGACATCTGCTGGTGGTTGCAACCGTCGGGTGCACGGTCACCACCTGAAGCTGTACCTCAAGAGCGATGTGGATCCGCTCTTGGAGGCACCTGATCCTGCACCTCGCTGAGTATCCACCATGGGCGTCCAGCTAAAAGACGGTAAAGAAGCGCTTGTGGGGAGGCAACCCCACCACGGTTTGACTTTCTTTCTTATGTTTCGAGTCGGATTGCGTTTTGGTTTGGTTTTGGTTTGTTTTCTTTGTTCTGGATGATGTCTTATTGGGCTGACATCGGACCTAACATATTCTGGTTGAGCTCTTCTGTTTCCCTTGAGCTGTGCTGTGTTCCCGCCTGGTCCGTTTCCAGTCTCCTGCAGTCTGTGCATACCGGTAACATCGTTCCCCTTTCCTTTCCTCTTCTCCATTGAGGACAATGTCGATCTTAAGTGTGGGGGGGGTGTTTATCTTTTGACTGCATTAGATCTGTTTGTGTGCTTGGAGCCTAGTCCACTGTCCGAATCTTACGATTTGAGGGCTCCAAGTACTGCTGTTTGATCATATTGGCACTGTGTTTTGATGGATGAATTGATTGGTTTTTGAATTAATGCATGACAACTTGTTTGCGACTAGGACAACCTATGATGAGGACTGAGATGTGCAGTAGAACGATGTAGGGGTTCAGTTTTTCAACTGTTTGCTTGCCAACTGTGACTTGATCTGACTTGATCTGATTACTTGTTCTTGACAGTCGTTTATGCATCTAGTTCAGGGTATCAGAATGTGAGATAGAGCATATAGGTAGCCATGTGAGATTTGAGCCTGCTCGTTTCTTTCTTGTGCGATAGATCCCTCTTCCATGATGTGTAGCATTCACGTTGTCACTAGCTAAAATGATGGGGGCATAGGATTAGCCCACGCCCAAAACTGACTGTCCTGATGTGTCATATCCCCTAGTCAGCCCCTTTGAGCCGTGTGTGATCCTTTCTTTTGGTCTATAATGGAAAAAATCACCCGTGTTGCATCTTGTAGAAGGTTCCACAGTGTGGTTTTTATAAATTCTCTGCTGTTTCTGCTAAAGTCTATGTGAGTGTTGGAGGTAGTGCTTAAAAGTTGGGCTGATGTTTGAATTGTGCAGAAGTGGTGGCTCTCTTAAGAAATGAAAAGAAAAATAAAAGAAAAACAAAGAAAAAATTGAAAGCAAAAGAGAGCCACTACTAAAAATCTGAATAATGCCCAGTAAGTAGTGTTTCTTAGCAGTCTGGCTTGGAAATGCTGATGTTTATGCCTCCTTCGCTCTTGTGCTCTTAAGATATTGAGTGATGCAGAATAGCAGAAAGAAAATACCGGGTTGTTTGACTGTGATTGTGTGTTTGGAAAATGTGGAACCTTTTGCTATGAATACTTCCACCACCTAAAAGGCCTTTTCCCCATGTCCAAGACCCTAGCCAGTCATTTGAACCTGTGTCTAAGACCTCCTGATTAGTTAGTGGTGACACCCCATATGTGAACTCTAGCATTTAGAGGCTGCCATCATGGTGAAGAGATGATAGGGATTGAGAGAAATAGCATGCGCATCTTTCGCATCAAAATTGTCCTGACCCCACTGGTCGAGAGTGAGTGATTCATTTTCATTTTCTATATGCTCTTGTACCCCGGTGAGGACCTAGATTGCTCGGTCTCTATTCTGATGTCTTGAGTTGGATGCATGATTTGACTGTTTTGAGTAAGTGGTTGAATCAAGTCTAGGTTGGCCAGTGAACAGAAGGGAGACTCTTCCTTTACTCGATTTGCTGCACTCGAATGTCCTTTGTGGTGGTTGTCCAGGTTGTTATTGAGGTTGTGCATGTATTGATGTTTGAAAACCAGTGCGATTCACGTGTTTTGTGCCCTTATGACTTGTCCCCAGTGTTGGTTGATTGAAATATGTAAAGCTTACCTAGTGTCTGACTTGGTTTGCTTGGGGACAAGCAAACGGTTAAGTGTGGGGGAGTTTGATAGACCGATAATTATACATGTTTTTACCCCTAGTCTGAGGCCGTTTGTGACGAGGAATCTCGTGTTTTAAGCCGATTTCACGCTAGGTTGTGTGTTTATGTCATATTTCAGGTCCCGGCGTTGGAATCGAGGCGGAGAAAAGAGTTCTGGGTCGAAAGGAGCAAAGTTGGGACGAATAGGGCTGAAGGAGGAAAATACCCGGTCGGTTGGCCAAATACCCGACCGGGTATTAACCACTTTTGGGCGCCCGAGAAGCAGAGAGGGGCCCGGGCACAGCAGTTAAATCCCCGGTCGGTGATTTTGGTGTTGGACCGGGGATTTCCCCCTTTAGTGAAACGGTGCGCTGCAGAGATACCCGGTCGAAACCCAAAATACCCGACCGGGTATTTTGACCGGGTATCGGGACCAGGCAGCTGATTTAAGGAAGAAGAAGGTCAACATTGAAGGGTTCCGAGTTTTTGAGAGAGAAACCGGTACCTAGAGAGAGAAAGCGTCGAACCAGAGTTCTCAAGCGCCATAGATCGATCTTCAACACCATTGGAGCCCGTCTTGAGCTTAGAGAAGTGCGATTAAACGTCCAGAAGCAGGAATCCAACTTCACAGTATGATTTCCGTGTCTGAATCTGCTTTTGCTTCTTTCTCTATGGAGTAGTTTCCCCATTCATCTGGGTATGGGAAACCCTAGTTCTGTATGTTAGGTTTGATTGTATGAACCCAAGTATTGATTCTGTGATTGATTATATTCGATTGAGGTTTTATGATTGAATGACTTGAATCCTGATCAAATTCCTGTTGTTTCTGCTTTAACCTAGAATGAGAATATCTGCCTAGGTTAATAGAGTATCCTTGATTGAAGGTAGGGAGTTGGTGACTTTAGTCGAGGAGCCAACTCACTATTCTGTACCGGATTTACTCCGGTAGTGGAGGTTTTGTTCTTAGGGCCTCAATCTGTCGACTCCGGTGGAGGTTAGTCGCCCGCTAGAGAGTCAGATTGAGAGGGTCTGAAGACCTTTAGTCGAGACTTCAGGCTGTTTAAGAACCTTCCGCAGTATAACTATCATAGAAATCGAACTTGGTAATTACAATCCGGCTTAACTGCAGACTAGGGGGAACCATATCCGGGCGACCTCTCTTAACCTGAATACAATCGTTTTAGTTACTTTGCTTGCTTGTTAGTTTAGAACCTCACTAAAGTTTCATTGCTACATAATACGAATTCACTGAGTAGTCATCACATCTAGGACCCGGGTTGACATTAAAACCCAAACCCGCTATACTACGCTTTAGGAAGTGGTTACACTTGGCCATTTTCTAGAGTGACAGTAGGAGTGAGTCACTTAAAGAGGGTGATAAAAATACTAAATATTTCCACAGGAAGGCCTAGTTCCATTCCACCAGTTCGGGGCAAGGAAGAAGCTTATTTTACTCGTCTCGTTTGCGTTCGACCGTAGGGAGAAGGGCGAAGGAAGAAGGGCGAAGGAACGGTCTGACAAACAAAAGTGCAACAGAATCACAAAAATTCAGGGAACTGATGGAACTATTTTTGAAGGTCAGGAAGGTGTTATGCGAGGGATGGTGGAATACTATCAAACACTGTTCAAAGCAGGCCTAGCTCATCAGGGAGTGAAGTTATTGATGCAGTAAGAGGTAAAGTATCAACATAAATGAATGCTTATCTGTTAAGACCTTTTCAAGAGGAGGAAATCTGGGGAGCACCGAAGCATATGACACCCTTGAAGGCCCTGGGACAAGATGGCATGCGTGCTCTTTTTTCCCCAGAAAAACTAGGCAACGGTTGGTCTTGTAATTACAAAAGAACTTCAATCAATCCTGGAGAGTGGAAAAATACATGCAAGCTTAAATCAAAGGGTTAATTGCAAGGATGGTCACTGGATTTACTAAAATCGTTCATGTTTGGTCACTGCAAATATTTAATTCCATTCATGGTCACTAAAATTAGTTCAATAGTTCAAGTTTGGTCACTCTCCGTTAGTTTTTGCTGATGTGGCAGTCAACTATTATAGTTGACCGTTAAATGAGTGACATGGCCATTAAAAAATAATAAAATAATAAAATTTAAATTTTCCAGCCTGTAATTGATCGATCAACCATCTCAGCAACTTCGGAAACTCAATTTTTTTTTACTGAACCACCTTATGTGCAGACAAAAAAAGGAAAAAAGAAGCAGAGGAAGGAAGAAGGAAGTTAATTACCTGGATGGAGTTAAGCCGCCGGCGGTAGAACATATCAGAAGTTTCAGGGACGCCATTAACGGTGACGCCCATCTTCGCACATGCCTTAGAATCTCTTACAGAGGACGCAATCTTGCCCCAGTAGCTGTCGCTGGTGACCCTCTCCTCCAGCCAGCCGGAGTAGTCCTGGAGGTAGTAATCGAAGTAGGCCCTGTTCAGCAGCGACCGGCCGGAGCCCTTGTCTGTGACGGCGTAGGCGAAGATGATGAAGCCGACGAGGGCGGTGAGGACGAAGAACATGACGAAGAGGTAGACCCACATCAGCATGGTGTTCCGGTAGTAGGTGTCGGCGAACCCGCCGAGGGAGACGACCATGATGCAGACGCCGATGACGATGATGGGCCACCGGAGGAATTTGAGGCAGTCGGTGTAGTTGGCCCTGGTGCTGAGCCATATCCCGCTGCCGATGATTGGGGGTCAAAGCTGAGCGTATCGGAGAGCAGTCGAAACCGAAAGGAGGGGGAGAGAAATCGAAGGAGGAGGGATCAGAATCACGGTGGAAATTTTATTTTTATTTTTTAATAGTTGTAAAATTAGATGGAAATTGTAAATATTTAAATTTTATTATTTTATTATTTTTTAATGGCCACGTCACTGATTTAACGCTCAACTATAATAGTTGACTGCCACAACAGCAAAAACTAACGGAGAGTGACCAAACTTGAACTACTGAACTAATCTTAGTGACCATGAATGGAATTAAATATTTGCAGTGACCAAACATGAACGGTTTTAGTAAACCCAGTGACCATCCTTGCAATTAACCCTTAAATCAAACTTTCTTGGCCCTGATTCCGAAGACAAAGACCCCAAAAACTCCTATGGAATACCGGCCAATTAGCATGTGCAAAGTTTTGTATAAGATACTCTCGAAGGTGCTTGCCAATCAACTTAAAGGAATGTTAAATGAGGTCATTACAGAGGCCGAGAGTGCGTTTGTTCCAGGCAGATTCATAACTGACAACGTGATGGTAGCCTTTGAATGTTTCAATGCAATGAAGAACAGGAGAGTGAAAAAAAATGGTTCGTTGCAGCTAAGCTAGACATAGCAAAAGCTTATGACAGGGTTGAATGGGATTTTTTTGAACGTATCATGCAGAAGTTGGGGTTTGATAGAAAATGGGTAAACCTGATCATGCAATGCGTCAAAAGATTCTCATATTCTATCTTGGTCAATGGCTATCAATCTGAGGTTGTGGTCCCAACCCGAGGTTTGAGACATGGATATCCTATATCTCCATATCTTTTTCTTATGTGTGCAGAAAGACTTTCAGCTATAACTAATCAAGCTGTGGAGGAAGGGAAGCTGAAAGGGATTCATATTAGTGGGAATGGTCATATTATATCCCACCTCTTCTTTGCTGATGACAACATCTTCTTCTTCGAAAACAAGAAGGAGCAGAGGGAGGTTATGAAGCAGATTCCGAAGACGTATGAAGAGGAATCTGGTCAACAAGTCAGTTTGCCAAAATCTAAGTTATCTTTTAGTATAAATGTTGTGGATGAAGACAGGGAAGCAATGGATATGTTATTGGGTATGAAGCAGGTGAAATTCCATGACAAGTACCTAGGCTTGCCTCCCACTGTTGGTCGTGCAGTGTTTTCGCAGCTCATTGACATGGTAAGGGAGAAAGTGAAGATGTAGAAGAGTAAGACTCTATCAAATGCAGGAAAGGAAGTTCTTATTAAAGCCATAACCCAAGCACAAAGCACCTATGCTATGTATATTTTCTTAATACCTCAGGGAGTGATTCAGGAAATACAAAGAATTATTGATGGTTTTTGGTGGAGACAAAAAAAAAAAAAAAAAAGAGGAGAGAAGGATCCATTGGATGAGCTGGGAGAGATTAAGCCAACCAAAGAGTAAAGGGGGAGTGGGATTCAGAGACGTACATGGCTTCAACATAGCTCTATTGGGGAGGCAAGTCTGGAACATAGTGAAAAATACTAACTCCTTGGTAGCTCGAGTGCTGAAGGCAAAATACTACCCCAATTGTGACATTTTGGAAGCGAAATTAGGAAGTAATCCTAGCTATGTATGGCGCAGTTTAATGGTTGGACAGTCTTTGATGAAGGAAGGCATTAGGTGGAGAATTGGGAGGGGAGATCAAGTTCACATTTGATGGGATAAACCCAGTAGCCCAAACTTCAAGGTTGATTCACCAGTCTCCTCTCTCGGACTACAAGCTCGGGTATCTGATCTGATTGATCCATCAGAATAGTAATATACTGCAGTCACATTTCCACCCTACTGGCAGAATAAAAATTTTACAGATTCCCTTGTCTAAGCATCCGCAACTAGATGTTCGGGTGTGGGGAAGGGACATGTTGGGGAAATACTCAGTGAAGTCTGGATATCATGAATGGAGAAGGAAGAATCTGAGTGATCACGGGGAGAAATATGTTCCTGTGGACTGGAAGAGAATGTGTCATCTCCAATTACCACCAAAAGTATGAGTGTTCTTGTGGAGATGGGGAAGCAATACCCTCCCAACTGGAGGAAACCTAACTAGAAGAATCCAAGAGGCCAGTGACGAATGCCCTTTTTGTGGTCTGCAGGAAACTCAAGAGCATATCCTAAGGGATTGTGACTGGGCAGGCAGGGTATGGAGACCCAGCTTTCTTCGAAAATTGTTTATGGAAGGGGAGGCGAAAACTACTGAGGAATGGTTATGTGAAATTAGCGGCAAAGCTATGGATGAAGAGCTATGCTCTATGGCTATGGCCCTATGGTTCCTGTGGAAGGAACACAATAACCATCTATTCAATAACAGAAAGCATGAAGAATGAGAGGTGATTGAAAGGTCTCAACTATACCTGGAGGAATTTCGCAATAGCAACCCATGAGCTACTCAGGAGTACGTGGCCAGATTGACGGTGCAGTGGGAGAAGCCGGAGAGGGGCGTGTTGAAGGTGAATGTGGATGCAACGAAATTGAAAGAGGGTGGTACAGGGATGGGGATGGTGATTCGGGATAAGGAAGGTAAATTTTTCCTGTCGGCGGTGAGGAGGACGAGGATTGATTGGGAACCGGAAATGGCTGAAGCCCAAGCTTTTCCGTGGGCGATGAATTTGGCTAGGGTGCACACGTAGAAGGCGATCTTGATGGAAACTGACTGTCAGTCGTTAATCCAGAAATTTAATCATATGAGTCAAACCACGAGTTTCAATACACCAAATTACTGCTACACTAGAGTATCATTTGACATTTTGTATCGCACATGAAATCAAGCTATTAGAAAGAAGAAGTTACATGTTTGAAACAACATTTTTGAAAATTAAGAAACATATTCATAAATTTGAGAGAAAAATATGTTTGATAAGAGTTTAGAAAAATTATAATTGATGAAAAGTGAATACTTTTTAATTATAAAGAGGCAGTTGGTGATATAGTGAATATATTGTGTTTAATTAAAATAGTGAATGTAAAGCGATAAATGACTATTGAAAATATAACTTAAAGGGTAAATTGGTAAATTTAAATTTTTAGATAGATTTTATATTTAATTAATGTTGTAAATTTTAGAGTGAATAGTTATTTTTTGCTGAAAGAAAAAATCAAGAAAAAAGAAGGATAAACAAACCTGAATCTCCCTCTCCGATACGGCTTCGTTTCACATCAAGAAGACACTTCTGCTTCCTTCCCAGTTCCCTGACGTCTCGCCGTAACTCTTTCTTTCTTACGCTCTCAGTCTGTCTGTCTCCCTCAGCTCCGTGTCTATATAAATACACAAGCTTCACCATTCCGCCATTGCTGACATCTCGATATTTCTTCCCCTTTCTTTGTTTTTATTTAATCAACAGAATAAAAAACCTCAAAGAATCAAACGAATTTAAACAAACAATACAATTCCCCCCTTTCTGCTCCTCCCCATTATCTCTTCCCGATTCCCCCCTCTCAGTTTCAGAGCTTTCCCCCTCTCTCTGTCTCCCACTTCCCTCGCACCCTTCCAACTTTTCACAGAAACCCAGAAAAACTCCGCTTCTCTCATGAGCCTCTCGCCGCGAGCCCGGCATTAGTTTCCCATGGAGAACTGAGAAGCAGTTTTGGGTTTGTTTTGTATCCGAGAGACCTAACAAAGAAAAAGAAATGAGGGTTAAGGAAATGCACCCACTCTGCTGCATCTCGCTCGAGAGCCCCGGACTGGGCGACCAGTCGCCTGAGATTTCGAGTTTGTCGGCCTTTACGCGGGCGAGATCCCTTCCGGCGGGCCTTCTGAGTGGACCCAATCATACCGGATCAGAGGACCCCGCGGGTTCGTCGGCGACGGTGGCTGGAGTGCTGCACAAGTGGACCAATTACGGGAAAGGGTGGAGATCGCGGTGGTTCTTGCTGAAGAATGGGGTTCTGTCCTACTCCAAGATTCGCCGGCCGGAGAATCTGAATCTGCTGGCGTTGAACGAGGACGTGCAATTGATTGGTGCGATTTCCACCAATCGATTGCAGAGGATGGATAGCGTCAGCTCTAGCCAAAGGAAGCAGGAGAAGAAAACTGTTGGCATTGTTCACCTCAAGGTAAATTGTTGACGTTTACTTTGTAATCATGCAAAGTTTCTCTAATCGCGATTAATGAGCATTGAATCAATGTCAATCTTTAGCTTCATTCATTAGACCTAGCTCTTTTCCCTGTTTGGCGGTAGCAGCAGGGGAAATTTGCCCATGGGGGAGAAGGATTTGATTCTAAAGCAATTATTCTGGTTATGAACCAATTTGGTCAAAGTTTTTTCGCTGGCGTAATTGATCGCCAATGCTAGCTAGCTAGCATAGCAAACAAACAGCTTTTTTTCATATCTAATCGCCATGGATAGACGAGAAGCAAAAGGGTAATAAGTGAGAATGCAAATTGAGTGGGAGAAGTTTTGCACTTTTGCTGGGTGGGTAACTGGGTATCAAGTATAAACAAAAGGTTACATGCGTTGTCCACTCTTTGAAGAGGGGCAGGTGGCCACAAAAGGAGAGGGTTTATGGAGATTTTGGTTTCCTCTTCTCTCTTCTCCCCATACTTTGATTTGTTGTTTTCTTTACTGTTGACTACAACCCCATCTACCCTTTTGGTGGACGGTGGGGAGCTATGTGGACTGTATACGGCCCTGTGTATCCTTCTTTCTTTCACTTTGCCCGTGTTTCTGCTGCTCTTTTTACAGCTTTCACTGGTTGTTAATCAATAGTGGGTCACATCAGCAGGTGGGTTTTTGTTTGTTTGGGAGGGTGGAATGGAATGGAGTGGGGAGTGGGGGAGGAGAGAGCTATGGTCTGATAAGGTACGTTGTAGGTCTATGTGATGAGTTGTGCTCGCATCATATTGTCTCTCTAGTCTCTGCTCTGATTTTTTTTTTTTATATCTCTTGTTCTCTTTCCTCCTTCCCCTTCTTCACATCCCACCATTTCCATGAGCTTTAAAGCTCGTGATGTTCTCTCTAGTATTCAAGGTGTTGTTCTTCATTTCTAGCTACAACTTCTGCACCGCTCTTAGTTTGTTCCATCTTCTCATTCTCCTTCCTCAACAGTAAACTTGGTGGCCGTTATAGTTCCTTTTCGTTTTTGACTCGTGGCCTAGGTGGAGTTTGATGCGAGAGAGGTAACTCGGGTAGCAGCCACTAGTAGCCTACTACTACTATACCCTCTTTGTTTTGCTTTGCTTTGCTTTTCTTTTCTACTTCAAAGCTTCAAGCTTTCTTTTGTTCTTTTGCTTTATAAAGCTTATAGCTTCCCTTTCCCATTTCTTGTTGTTCTCGGCCACAGTGTTTTCTTTTTGGGTCTTTTCGTCTAACCTCAGCCGTGGGGACATCGACACGTCAAGACACGAGTCATTATAGTTTTTTTTTTATATTTTATAAACGAGTCTTTATAGTTTTGGAGGTTGAGAGATCGGTTCTTAACAACCTTTCAAGTTTTGTGTGTGCTAAAGAGGAACGGTTGGGAGATAAGGAAACGACGGTAGTTTCATTTTTTACCTTTTTTTCTTTTTCATCTCTACTCTTCCGAGGATATTCCGAGTGCCAGATCTTTAGTAGTTATCGTCAAACTCCATTTCGAAACCACATATGGGGTCCAAAGTGGCGGCCTTTTCTTCTGGGTTCTCCTTTTCTTCATGTTCTTTGATCTGCTGCTCAAAAGAAATTTCCATTACCATTGATTCCCAGAAAGAAATTGAAGTTGGGTGCCTTCGATTAAACTCTAGTAGTGCCTTCTGAAGTTGGTGCCTTTTGTTTCTTGTAGCAGATCTCGTCATTCCGAGAAAGCAAGTCCGATGACCGGAGGTTTTACATATTCACAGCGACGAAGACGCTTCACTTGAGAACTGATTCCAAGAGGGACAGGTCAGCTTGGATTCAAGCTTTGGTCGCTGCTAGGAACCTCTTCCCGTCGAGGTCACTCAAAGATGGTCTCTCGCATGGGATGCCAAAGGATTTGTCTGTCTCGACCGAGAAGCTGAAAAAGCGGTTGGTCGAAGAAGGCATCAATGAAACCCTCGTTAATGACTGTGAGCAGATTATGCTATCGGAATTCTCCGAGTTACATGCGCAGCTTAAAGTTGTTTGCGAAGAACGGAACAGTTTGGTAGACACTCTAAGGCAACTGGAGGTAAGTCGATCATTCATCTTGGGCTCTTGGCATTGTCGAATTTCAGCTCGGTTTTTCGACTCTCATTATGGGTGTGTGGACTAGTGGACTTGGCTTAAAGGCTCAGTCAATTCCGTAATGAAGTTTGAGATATCTTGAACAGGTTGAAGGGTGATTATGAATCTGCTTGTGTTTTATTCTTTTATGGCTTGCACCGAAGCTTATGCCACCCAAACTGAGCTTAAAGTGGCTTTCTTTCCTTATGCAATTTGTTTGCTTTCCATAATTGTTTCCTTTGCTCCCACTTTAAGAATGCCATCATTCTAGTCCAATGGATAATCCAATCCTCATATGAACAACACATTTAGTAGATAATTTATGATATGAGCTGTCCAGGACACGTCTTGTTGCAGTATTAGTATAGAATCTCTTCATCGGGTATCTTATAGTTCCCACATTCTGGCCTGACAATACCCGCCAAGATGTAGCGGTTTGTAAATGGGTTTTCTATTCAGTATTTGGAATTTACTTGAACTAGTCTTGAAAGCATTTCTTCGGCCTTTTGCAGGATTCCAACATCGAAATTGAAGTCTCTGGAATTCAAGATGGCGAATATCAGTTGGCCAAGCATGATTTGTCGACTTTAGGACGTGGCAAATACAGTGGTAATTGACACATAGAAGTTACTGCTTCTACTTGGTTTATGAACGAGGAAGTTGGCTTTTGTTTGTATTTGGCTCTTTTGTATTCTCATATTTCCCTATGTTTTGGTGTTGCTTTGTAGAATGTAGCACTACTGAATCATCAGATTGTATCGAGAAGCAAGACCTGGAGGAAGTTTCAGACGAGGAGGAGCCCTCTTTCTACGACAGTAAAGATTTTTTCATCGATGGGTCTATAGTGCAAGTTCCAGGTTGTCACTCGGGGAAGGATAAAATATCCAATCATCTCGATAGTGAAGAGGATAAAATGCACATGGTATTTGATCCGGGATACCCGCACATCCCAAGGAGGCAAAAGCTTCCACCTCCAGTTGAAAAAGAGAAAGGGGTCAGCCTTTGGTCAATGATCAAGGACAATGTGGGCAAGGATCTTACTCGTGTTTGCCTCCCTGTTTACTTTAACGAACCGATTTCCTCACTTCAGAAATGCTTTGAGGATTTGGAGTACTCGTATCTGTTGGACCGAGCCTATGAGTATGGAAGAGCCGTAAGATTTTTGGAAAAAATGAACGCTTTTCATGTTTGTTTGTCTTTTTGTCTCATTACTTTATAATAATCTTATTATATTTGGGTCTTTGATGAAACAGGGGAATAGCCTAATGAGGATTTTACATGTAGCTGCATTCGCCGTGTCTGGCTATGCTTCCTCCGAGGGCCGGCATTGCAAGCCTTTCAATCCTCTGCTCGGAGAAACATATGAAGCTGACTTTCCTGACAAGGGTGTTCGCTTCTTCTCTGAGAAGGTTGGTGATTCATCATCCGTTTATGGATTTTGTTAATAGTCATCGCTGTCTATGCTTGCGATTTACTATATTGATTTATTTTCTAAAATTGTAAGGGAGAAGTTGTTGTGGCTTGAAGCTTTCCTAGGGTATGAGACGATATTAGGCACTGAATGACTTTACAATAGCGGTTTTAATGATGGATGTTAAACCTTAATACAAGGAATACGAGGATGATATTTTGAGTTGAAACACAGGTTAGTCATCATCCAACTCTCATTGCCTGCCATTGTGAAGGTAGAGGGTGGAAATTTTGGGCCGACAGCGATTTGCACACCAAATTTTGGGGGCAATCCATTCAACTCGACCCGGTTGGGGCTCTGACCCTCGAGTTTGATGATGGTGAAATGTTCCAGTGGAGCAAGGTGTGACCTCTGGTTTCTTTTGATCGTCACTCGCGTTTTGTTTCGTACTAGAAGCTTACGATCTTTGGTTGCATTGTTTTGCAGGTTACAACCGCAATTCGTAATCTCATTCTGGGTAAAGTGTATTGTGATCACCATGGGATGATGAATATAACTGGAAATCGTGACTATTCTTGCAAATTGAAGTTCAAAGAACAATCAATCCTCGACAGAAATCCTCACCAGGTTAGAATCTTTATCGATGAAGATTCTTCCTGTTTATTGCCTGAATTATTTGGAAAAAGTTGGTTACTTGCTCATACTAATGACGTACGCTCATCAATCTGCACAGGTTAATGGGTTTGTAGAAGATCTCTCTGGGATAAAGGTGGCCACTGTGTTTGGGAAGTGGGATGACAGCATGTACTATAAGCTTGGTGATGGTCAATCAAAGTCGAGGAACAACCCGTCGTCAAACGCTACCTTACTATGGAAGAGTATAAAGCCAGTACCAAATCTCACTCGATACAACTTAACATCGTTTGCCATAACCCTGAACGAATTAACGCCGGGACTGAAGGTAAAGAGACCACAGTATTTTGTTTGTAGTCAGTAACTCTCGTTTCCTCCCCTGATGTATGCATATCTCTAATTGTTTATTGTAATAGCCCATGTCTCTGATCTTGGGTAATTTGATCATGGATAAAAATAGGAGAAGCTCCCTCCAACAGATTCCAGGCTGAGACCAGACCAGAGGCATCTGGAGAATGGCGAGTACGACAAGGCCAACCTGGAGAAACAGCGGCTGGAGAAGAGACAAAGAATGGTATTTTCTATGTTAACAAATAAGTAACTCTTTTATCAGAACTTCAAGTACAAGTGAAAGAAAATGGTGTTTGATCGAGCTTCAAGTCCATTGATTTTACTGTGGAATTATCCCATGCAGTCGAGAAAGCTGCAAGAACACGGGTGGAAACCAAGGTGGTTTGAGCAAGAAGGCGAAAATGGACCTTTTCGGTACAAGGGTGGGTACTGGGAAGCACGAGATCGCGGAAACTGGAATGGATGCCCTGACATATTTGGGGAGTTCGGCGATGAGTTCCCCGAGTCCAAGTAAATTTTTTCTTGACAACATAAGTTGATGTAGGTACTGCATTGTTCTGCTAAATTGCTTCTAAAGTCCTTTCTCTGTGTTTCATTCATAACCCTTTGATGATGGTGATGCAGACAGTAATCTCTCAAGAGACCAACCCAGCAGTGGCAGCAGCCCACGCAGCTTACAGACCAGAATTCTAGTTGCAGGAAGGAATGGTAAAATAAGTTTTATCCTGATAATGATTTTGTGGTGGAGTTGTGAGACTGCAATGTATAATGTGCACTTCGGGATAGGATAAGAGAAGAGCCCTTGAAAATTTTCTGCTGTGAATGTGAGCCCTGTTGCTGCTACTGCTAGTGCTAGCCATCCAAATTTGTTACAGCTTCATGCGAAACCTCCGGTGTATAAGAAGAAGCCATTTGCGCTGATATGATAAGTTTATTTTTTACATATTTATTTGTACTTATTTTGTCGGCAATAAAATAGGGAAAAAGAGTAAAAAAGAGTGAAGGGCAGAAGGGGTACTGAATTATTCCCATCAAGAGTTTTTCTTTGTTCCCTTTTTGTGAACTTATTAAGCATCGACGGCAATGGTCGCGAGCCCTCAGATATCCACAATCGTAGTTTGATTGTTCCTATTAACATCGACTCACTTTCCTAGTCACAAGGCGATTAGTCTCTTATGTTCAACTTATGGAGTTGATAGAGTATTTTCGAGAAAGTATTTATGGGATATTGGTGATAGGAAAAAATGACTCATCCAAGTGTTCAATGATGATTATATAAATCAGTCACAATTTTGGATAATAGTATTTTCGAAGAAGTATTTATGGGATATCGGTAATAGAAAAAAATAACTCATGTCCATCCCACCAGTCAACGCAACTGCTACAACCGTTAGAAGAAGTAGTTGGCAGCCTCCTCCGGATGGATGGGTGAAATTGAATGTAGACGGTAGCGTGAAAGGCGATCCCCCATCCTCAGCTATTGGGGGAGTAGCTCGTGATCCAGCAGGTAATTGGATAGCTGGTTTCTCCACACACGTTGGACTTTGTTCTGTGTTAGAAGCAGAACTTAAAGCTCTCAGAGACGGCCTCTCTCTTATCTGGATATTAGGTTACCGCAAAGTGTTGGTGCAATCGGATTCGGCAACAGCCGTCAAACTCATTCTCTCTGAGAAAGAGTTGTTTCATCCTCTTGGAATGATCATTGCAGACTGCCAGACTATGCTTCAAAAGTCTTGGGAAATAGAACTATCACACACACTAAGAGAAGCTAACATGGTTGCTGATGCATTGGCAGAACTTGGACATGATTGTAGGTCAGGAGAACGACTTTGGCCAACTCCTCCAAGTGTCATCTTACAACTGGTTGATTTAGATAGAAGAGGGCATCTATACTCCCGCTCCTAGCTTGTATCATTTCTAGTTTGTGCAATTTAATTTTCCAGTGTACCAAAAAAAAAAAAAAAAGTAAACGATTACATAAATTATTCATAATTTTGGACAATCTAATAGATACCAAGACCAAGGTCGCAAAAGTTCAACGTTCAAACTTTAGCAACAATTAAAAGAAGTAATCAATTCACCATTAAAATTAGGGTTAATACCTTAGTTTGGCCCGAACTATATATATACTTTCTACTTTGGCCCGAATTATTGAATATTGCTACTATGGCCTGAACTATGTAGCAAACTTCCTCATCTGGCCTGGAGGCGCGTTTGACCGTCAAAACAGACGGTCAACCAAGTTGACTGTTAGTCAATATACACATCAGCTGCAACGTATACATTAAAAATTATATTTTTTTTTACAAAAAATAAAAAAGAAATTAATAACTCTAAAAAAAAGGAACGGAAAAAAAAGAAAAAAAAAAGGACCGTCGGCTTCTGAACTACTTCATCCAAGAAATCCCGAATCAACTGCGCCGCCGCAGGGGAGAATAAAATTAGACGCGGATAAGGATCCATGGATAGGGATTAGGGAGCAAACAACTTAGCTAAAGAACTTAAAATTACCTCAGCCCAAGTTTCCATAGTGTAAGAAAATCCTTCCGGCTTATCAGATTCGCCAAACCCTAGAAGATCAATGGCGTAGACGGCGCGATTCTGCGCCAATGTCTCGATATTTCTGCAATTCAGACGGGCGGCTGCAATTTCACGATTTGGGGAAAGACAAAAGGGGGGTGGAGAAAAGAAGGGTTTCAGACGGGTACCTGCGCCAGTAAGGAATCGAGGCGCCGAAGCCGTGAACTAGGAGAAGCGGCGGTGACCGGGAGGGAGACTGAGCGACGAAGTAATTGATCGTGTACTGGCCCTTCCACCTCCATTTCAAGCATCTTTCCTTAATCTCCGTAGCCTGCAGCGCGCCGGAGGAGGAAGAAGCGGGTGAAGGGGAAGTTGGGGCTTCCGCGGAGGAGCGAATTGAGAAAGCCCTCGGTTTCGATTTCGTCCGCCGCGCCGATTGCGGCGGCGCTCTGTGCGGCTGCGGCGGCGGGAATGGAGCCGTCTTTCACCGACCGGCCGCCGCTGCATTTGCCGGAGAATCTTCGAGAATCGCCGAGAATTCGTCGGGGAAGGGAGTTGGGGGTAGACGATGGGTCTGAAAGGGGGGAGGTAATTCCCGATAAGAATCGATGCGGGAAGATAGGGATGGGTGGCTGTGGGTTTTTTTTTCTTTTATTTTCGGTTCCTTTTTTTTAGAGTTATTAATTTATTTTTTATTTTTTGTAAAAAAAATATAGTTTTTAATGTATACGTGGCAGCTGATGTGTATATTGACTAACGGTCAACTTGGTTGACCGTCTGTTTTGACGGTCAAACGCGCCTCCAGGCCAAATGAGGAAGTTTGCTACATAGTTCAGGCCATAGTAGCAATATTCAATAATTCGGGCCAAAGTAGAAAGTATGTGTATAGTTCGGGCCAAACTAAGGTATTAACCCTTAAAATTAACATGATCATTTTCTCTCCTGTACTGACAAGTGACAACATCGACATATTCCAACCTTATTAAGGTCAAAACTCAAAACAAAGGGAAGAGAAAAAGGTGTCCATGAAACCATACCGTACCGGCGGTTCAACCACAAAATACCAGTATCAGAGGCTAAACCGGTAGGCGGTATTTACCGGTATAACGGTTAAACCACGATTTTACCATAAAATACCGTACTGCTAACTTTCCCGGTATGGTCTCCGATACGGTTTCATGGACCATGCATAAAAGGCTGCAAAACTAATCTACATACACAAGGTGGCCAACCCCATGGCCCAAAGCGAAAGCCTACGAAAAAGTGAAGACCTAAGCTATTCGGGCCCAAAGGTAGCATTGGATCCCCACAACCCAAAACTTGGCCCTTCACTCTTTTCATGGAGAGTCTCCGTCAATGCATGCATATAGCGGGCTCATCATCCAAATCCTTCCTAAGCTATTGTTGATGTGGATTCCTATTTAACGCACTAACTTTTTAAAAATTTCGCCCTAAATTAACAAAACAAACGAATTTACCCTCACCCGCCCTAAATCCCTAAAACAGAGCTTTCCGCTGCTCCGCTGCCCTATCGACGCCGTCCGCCCCAGATCTAAGTAATTGAAGCGCACATTATTTCACTGCGGCTCCTGAAGTTAGTTCAGGATAATTGAAAGAAAAATTATTTGTTTAGACTTAATTCACTTCCGATTTGGTGTTCTTTAAATGGTCTGGTTTGCCTTTTAGTTGTAGTAAGTTGTGATATCATCAGATGTTAAGTTGGATGATAGCTTGTTTCTCTTATGTCAATGCAGAGGCCATTTCCAGAGTATCCAGGCTGTTGGTCACTTCTGCATTTGTATTGAAAGTAGAGGATCGGAAAGCTTCATCTCTGCTCACCAGCCGCTGGCCTGCCCACCTCTCCTGCTCGTCAGATGAGTTGAAATCCCGTCAATGAGGTTCCTTCTTCGGACGCCGATTAGGCGCTAGAGGTTGGTGATGACGATGACAACTGGGCACTTTATCTTCTTTGTCCTTCCCATCAAGCTCGCAGCGGCGACGAGAGCAAAATCTGGTTTTGGATGACCGACAACAAATTTTTTTTTTGTTGAAAGACCAGCGGCAATCTTCATTTGAGGTTTGGGGCGATACAATTGTGGTTAGGGTTTAGGGCGATACTAACGGTTTAGGGCGATACTATTCGTCTTTCTACCTACTAGGAGGTGTCTTGCCAATGTTCTACCCGTGTGAGGCGGGATCAAGTTTTTTCTTATTGTTGATGTTGTCCCTACTAGGAGGTGTTCGGTCTTTCCGCCTACTAGGAGGCGTTATTTCTTCTAACTCTTTGGGAATTTTGGTATTTCTTTTTCTGAGAAGCGCTTTTAGTCTTCCTGCTTTTTGGGAAGTTTAGACTTTTGGCTTTTTAAGAAAAGCTTTAGTCTTTGAAACCCGAGAAGCGCGTTAGTCTACAGCTTTCTGAGAAGCTTAGTTTTTTAGTTTCCCCCTGATGTTAGAAGCATGAGTATTTGAGCTTACCCAGAGACGGAAGGCGTGGTTCGTTCTCCGAAGAGAGCATCGTAAAAATGCTAGAAGCATTCCCGGAGGGAGCATAGATCATAGGCGGGAAGCATTATCCATAGGGAGCATCACTCAGAGGCGATAAACATTCTCGAGAGGGAGCATCGCTCGGAGGAGGGACGCATTTCCCATAAGGAGCATCACTCAGAGGCAGAAAACATTCCCAAGAGGGAGCATCACTCAGATGCGGGAAGCATTCTCGAGATGGAGCATCGCTCGGAGGGTGTGAATCATTCCCCAGAGGGTGTATCGCTCGGACGTGGAAAGCATTCCTCACATGGAGCATTGCTCTGAGGAGTAAGTCTTCGATTTTTTCGGGAAAGATGCTAGTGGCTAGTGGCCAATATATTTAGAGCATAAATATAGCATAACATGTTGCGGAGAATATCCTGGTGTATTGATAATGATCTTCTTCATGGTACGTAATTGAGATATATCCACGTGAAATCAAAATGTATGGCGTTTCCATTTGGAGCACGAGGCGCGTATCCTTCTTATGGGAAAGAAGGATGTGGGTTTGATTCTCAACTGAAGCATTTTTTATCAAATTGTTGAAGCATCCATCGCATGTGGGCCATGTTGGGCAAAGGTACGGGCCGTGCTTGACCTAAGGTTTGTCAGGCCTAGTGCATGGGTTGAAGTCGTTAGGCGTGTTGGGATGAGAATTCATCATTGAAAGCTATCTATTGTAGGCGGACCTCGTTATGGATGTGAGGTGGCTTTGCCCTTCAGATGCGAGATTGATATGCGAGACGTTGAAGATGGGGTTCTGTGGTATGGTGGTGATGGGCTTTGGAAGCAGGCCGAACCTTCGAAGGTGGCAATCCTATTCAGGTCATGCTAGAGGCGAGTAAGCATCCAAAAATCAGAGACAGGATTTCGTAAAGCGATTGTCATTGTTTTACAAGAGGATGTTGTAGCCCAGTGGATTCCATCATATTTCTTGCATGCAAGAGTCTGTGGGTTCGAACCCTATGGAACGACGTTTTTCATGTCACTTAAGCATAAGCTTAATGGGAAGTGTAGCGGGGCATGAGTTGGAAGCAAGGCTGTGTTGGCATAGAAGGCTAGACTCGAAGTGAACTCGAGTCAGGTTGGATGTGTGTGGTCTTGGTGTGGTTGGGCCCAAGTGGAAGGCAGGTCGTGATAATTTGGTGTAGTTGGCTTTTTTCCGAATGCGTAATGGCTGTGCAGGCTTTACTGAAGGTGAGTCCACATTGTGAACTTGGAGTGTGGGCTGGACACGTGGCGAGCTATCAACTAGATGCAGACCATGATTGGTGGATTGTGTGATGGGCGCGGGGCGCGAGTTTGATTTCTGATGGGTCGCTGGTCTCCATTGGCTTCATTGGCAAAGCGGGCTGAATGAAATTTGTAGATAGAGTCGTCTTAGACTTCGACGAAGGAAGGTGATGTTATGTGGCTGCGGGCTTCATCTTAAGGCGTGATGGTTGCTAGGCGATTCCTCCTCTGGAATGCAATCTTCGATCATGGGATGCGAGCTTTGCGAGAAGCAGACCAGATGAAGGTAGGGTATGATGGGAGGAAATGCAGGTTGCTACTATTGTGAAGTATTGGGTCTGCTCGCATTGTGGAATTTGGAGGCAGGTTTTGGGTGCGTTTGAGGTGCACCGTAAGTTGGGCCACGAGGGATGTATTTCTTTCTAGTGTGAGATTGTTTTCCTTTCACAAGGCATTCTTCCTCTTCGACAACCGTTTGTCCTGCCTCTTTCATTCTTAGGCTCTCAATATAATGCGTTAGGGCTCTCAAGTTATTTGATATTTTCCCACTAGCCCATTGCTGAGCGTGCTAATATGTAGGCCGTAACTGTTAGCTTTATGCGTTAAGTTGTTGGACCACGAGATGGGCATGAGCTTGTGTGCAACTTAAGCGTAAGTTGTTGGCTGAATATTAGGCTTTAACTATGTGCTAGAGAGGACACTTACTAGCCCATTATTGTTTTAGGTGTTAGCTACGTGCTAGGTAGGGTGGCCCCCATGGCTTGAGTGGTTTAGCTAAAGACCCTTGTGTGTATCACCAGTACCACGCCTATTGTAAGGCAAGGTTGGACTTGTCAGCTTGGCGACGTTACGCCTGTTGGAAGGTGAGATCGGTCTTTTGTCGTTTTGTTACAACGCTTGGAGTATGCGTGGTCAAATCTAGTCGACTACGTTTCTTATGAGTCCCAGTGCGGCTTGCAGCATAGGAGACGAGGTTGACTTGGCCCTTGTCAGGCAGACTTGGGAAGGTGCTTCCTTGGCTTCAATTGGGTTGTTGAATCCTGCTTTTCTTTTTTCAATTCATGCTTCTTCCCTTGGCCGATTTACGCTCTTTTAATTCTTGACTTGGGCCCCCCTTGAATGACCAACGATAGCGCCGAGCCATGGAGGTGGGGATTAGTGAGTTGGGAGGTTGCCGATGACCTTTATCGGGAGGCATTTCTCCTTTCTAATCTATTGGGTGGGGGAGTGCATTGTTGTGTTATGACGAGAGCATAGCTCAACTAGTCTAAACGCCAATTGCATTACGCACGTAAGCCTGAGGACACGAGTTCGAACTCCTTTCGAACCTCAACTTTATATTGAAGCTAATGTATCTACGGAAAATGCTAGTGGATATTGCCTCATATACTTTAAGCGTAAATATGAGCATAACATGTGTGAATGATATCATAGTATGATAGTAGTAGTGGTCTTCATGGCATGGTATGTAAATATATCTTAAATGGAAGTAGTTAGCTGAGTTGTGGTAGAAGCTGTCGGGGAACACTTTGAATAGGAGGCGCTGCAAAAGGAGAGTACATGGCGGTCTTGTAGCATACTGGTTGATTCGTCTTCCAGTGATTGATAGATTTTCGGTTCAAAGCTTGGTAGAGGCATGTCCCCCTTTTTTATTTTTTTTAAATGAAGACATGCTTTTTATGGGCTTCGAATCCGAGGCTGACCCCTTTGTCTATCACGGGT